AATAAAAGCGTAATATGCTAATTAGACCAGACAGCCAAACGACCTTCTGGACGTCATAATGGACTAAGCCAGGGTGGCGGGGGCTAAGGCAGAGAGGGTTAGGGGTAATCAGGCAGGCAGGTGAGCAGTTAAGGGCGATCAGGCAGACAGGCAGAATGGTTAGGGGCGATCAGGCAGGCAGGCAGGCGAGCAGTTGGGAGTCAGTGGTCCCGGATTGTGAGAGGGATGTCCAACTGCCAGTTTAGGCCTGATCCCGGATTGCAAGAGGGTGCAGGCCAGGCTCAGGGACCACCCTCCCATCCCCATGCACGAATTCTGTGCACCGAACCTCTAGTTGTACATGTAAACACTTGCACCTACAACCAGTGCTCAATAATAAATGGTAGCTTTTATTTTTAACATCTCATCTGCCAAGTTAAGAAGCAGATTATTTTGGTATTCTTCAGTTTCCAAGGACACTCTTGTCTTCCATAAGTACTCTATACTCTTTTATTTTTCCACATTGATTCAGCTTCACTGTTAACAGAACACAATTGTTCAGTGTTTCCTTTGGTGTTATTCCCACTAAGTAAAATCATTAAAATATTGATTTCTACTTTCACTTATAATGTTTTTGTTATTAGTACAAAATATCGGTTATCTCAAACAATACATTAAAAATAATAATCAAATTAGCAAAACTGATATAATTCATTGTTCCTGTCTAGCAATTTATATCTATTCTACTTATGAATACCCCTGGCTTTAGTTTTACTATGTAATATGTGCACTTCTCTAAGAAAAACCTTGTTTCATACACACTAATCTGAATTTCTTCCGATCAATTGCCTTTGTTAGATTTATATTGAAAGTTCTCTGTTGCACATTTATAGTCACAGAAATCAAACTTTCCCAGGCATGTCAAGACAGGTCTCCTACCTCTACCTGGGCCAGGAAAATGAGTTGGGAAGGACAAGAGAAAAGTAAACATGATATATATCCAAAAGAAGGTGACTGGCAGCTGCTGCTTTGTTTTGCTCAAGGCAGGTGATCTAAACTCCACCCATCTACCACTTCAAATTCGCTTTAGGGTGAATCACTTTACAAAAGATAGGCTAAACATCCTTAGCCCAAATTTAAAAACTAAACAAAGGTAGTTTAAAATATTTTATAAATACTAAACTCAAAAACGTGTTCATAGACTGAAAACAATAACAGAAACATTCTCTCGTTAGAGGAAAATGAAAGAAATCTAATCACTCTATTAAAGCAGTGGTCCCCAGCATTAGTAGTAGGGAAGAAGAGGGAAGATACTGATAACAAAGGGCAATCGGGAGGATGAAGGAGTAGCAAGGACAGAGGAAATAAAATGAAGTAGAACTCAAAGGTCAGAAGAAAGGACTACAAGGTGGTAAGAAGAGAGAGAGGAGAGAGAACAGGAGGGTTGCAAAGGCCTGGGACTAGAGGTGGCATTTTGGCGGAAGAGAGGGGGGAACGGGACCCGTAGTTGGGCGCGTCAGAGGGGAACGGCAGTACCGAGGCCAGGACCACTGAACCGCCGTGCCCCAAGTCTTCCCTTACTGGGGTAGAAGTGACCGCCTTATCTGGCTGGTCCATTGCGACCTCCGCAGTGGAGTCCTGTTGCCAGGAGACACGGGGAGGGGGAGGGGGGCTGCGATCGCGCATGTGCAGCCCCCCCCCCCAAGTCTTCCTCCAGTGGGGGAGGGGAGGCGGGCACACGTTTTGAAGTCCTGCGCTTAGCCTTGGGCACGCACACGTGCGGAATCGCCTGAAAGCCTTCAGTTATCTGCACCAATATTTTTAAATTTTATTTATTTATTTTAAAGAGAGAGAGACAGAGACAGAGAGACAGAAACAGAGAGACAAGAGACAGACACACACCCCTGTAGGGCTTGGGAACGATGCTCTAACCAACTGAGCACCCGGCCTGGGCTGCGCTGAGACTTCCAAAGGCGGTTTGTAGCCCTAACCGGTTTGGCTCAGTGGATAGAGCATCGGCCTGCGGACTCAAGGGTCCCAGGTTCGATTCTGGTCAAGGGCATGTACCTTGGTTGCAGGCACATCCCCAGTAGGGAGTGTGCAGGAGGCAGCTGATCGATGCTTCTCTCTCATCGATGTTTATAACTCTCTATCCCTCTCCCTTCCTCTCTGTAAAAAATCAATAAAATATATATTTTTAAAAATAAAATAAAGGCGGTTTGTAAAGGCTTGAACATATACCATAATCGCCATCAGCCCTTTTGCCAATCACCCCCACTCCCATTCTTTCAGAAAAAGGGACAGAATGCTTGATAGGCATACCTAGCTTTAAAGCAAAAATCAGCATTAGCACCCACTTTGAGATCATTTCTAAGCTCCTCCCAATGGAAATTCTGTAGATGTCACTTCTCTAGCCTAACTTTGGAAGTGGTGTAAGCACTAGACCCAACAGGATTCACTGAGAAACCAGACCACCCTTTCCTACCATTATAGACCCTTTCACTTTCAACCTCTTTTGATGTAGCATCTCAACCTATAAACATTCTCATCTTTAAAAACAAACCCTCCCCCTCAACCTTAATAATTCCATTTTGTGGAGTACCTGTGTTCCATATACTTCACAAATTTAATTAATCCTCACAATAACCCCGTGAAATAGGCATTAATCCCATTTTAAGAATGAGGAGGGGCTTTGTTGGACAGTGTCCTCAGCATCACACAGCAGTGGCAGAGTTCAAGTCCAGGTCTGACTCCAGTGCCCCACTGTCCAAACCACCATGAAGTTTCTGCTCCCTTTTACAAACTTTCAAGAGTAGACTCAATTCTTTCACCTCCCATACTTGCCTAAAATCATCTTAATCTGACATGCACACACACCTTTCCATTAAAATTGCACTTGTTAAACTAACCAATGATCCAATGGCCAAACACAATGGGCATTTTTCAGCTCTTAACTTGACCTCCATTTGTCATTGCTACACTCCCTCACTCTTGAATCCCTCTCCTTCATCTCTACCAGAACTTGAGGGTTAGGGTGAGCATTGGCTGCATTTGCTGTGATTTGTGCTTCTTTGTCTATAAAGGTGATAAACTGGTACTTCCCCACAAGGTGATTATGATTAACGAGTGAAATGTTTGGAACCATGTCTGGCACAATGTTTTCAGTAAATATGGACTATCATTACCTTTAGGACAAAAACAAAATTTACAATCGTCTCCTTTCCCTCATCAGAAGCTCATGCTTTGATGTACAGAGTTGACCTTTGAACACAGGATTAGGGGTGCCAACCCCAAGCCACCGAAAATCCATGCGTAATTTTTGACTCCCCAAAACCTTAACTACAGTCCCTTGGTATCCATAGGGGATTGGTTCCAGGAACCCCCATGGATACCAAAACCCTCAGATGTTTATGGCCCTTATATATAAAATGGCTTAGAACAATACATACAACTGGCTCTCTGCATCGGTGGATGTGAAACACAGGGATATGGAAATCTATACATTTTGGGGGGAAGAAGTGTTAAGTGGACCCACCCTGTTCAAACCCATGTTGTTCCAGGGTCAGCTGTACTTGTAAACACCAAATATGCCATTTTCACACTTCTAAGGTCTCCCATATGCTAGCCTTCCTTTGACAGCCTGGTACAGCCTCTCAAAGGTCAACTTCTCTGAGAAGTCCCTTGGCTTAATCCCTCGTAGCCCAAAGGGACCCTGTGCCTATCTTTATTGGAGGACTCATTGTGATAAATTGTTCCCAATTTTAAACATATCCAAAACACAGGTTTTATCTTCTGAGTCTTTAAATATAGGATGAAATTACTGAATAACTAGTTTTCCTCTCTATAAATATAAATAGGATAAACTACAGCAGTGCTTTTAAAAAATTAATGTACACAAACACCAGGTCATTTTGTTAAAACACACATTAATTCAGATTCTGGGCAAGGCCAAAGATTCTGCATTTCTAAGAAGCTTTCAGGTGATTCTATGGGCAACTTGAGTAGCAAGAGACTAGAGAACTCCATTTTTCTTAAAATAATGGGATTCTAAATTCATTTAATATAACCTTAAAAAATATAGAAGGGGAAAAAATAACAACCAGGCACCAGGTTTGAAATCAAGAATTATAAGGCCAAGAGGCAAGCAAAAACCAATTTTCACAAATGTAAGATTAATCAAGTCCATCACTGTGATTCATTTCATTTTCTTCAAGAAAATTGCTCAGCAGACTAGGGACTGGTACCCTAGAGACTAAAATATGATGAAAGGTACAGAGAAGTCCAGAAACCCACACAAGGGAACATCTAGAAGAGAAAATAGCTTGAGTATACCAAAAATAGAAACAGCATAATGGGTCAATGATTTCAAGGACTTCACCAATAAAACAGATTAAACATATAGGATAACAAAATGTTCTCATAACATTGTATTATATAATACTACTGGGAAAAGTTTAAAAGTGATCATAACAAGCATTTTTCTTTGATGATACAATATTAAGTAGAGCTTGGCAAGCTTTTGCTATGCATCAGATCTTTAATTAAAATTACATTCCAGGATCAATTTTAACTACAATAGTGATGGTTTTATTATAATTATCTGAGAGCAAACATGCTACAGATAGTACTAAGAAAATAATTATCAATTACCATAACCCTGCTAATAAAGAACAGGTAATATGGTAAAGATTTGAAGATAAGGTTTAAAATTATAGCCCTAGGCCCGGCTGGCATGACTCAGTGGTTGAGTGTGGACCTATGAACCAAGAGGTCAGAGTTCAATTCCTAGTCAGGGTGCATGCCCAGGTTGTGGGCTCAATCCCTGGTGGGGCACGTGCAGAAGGCAGCTAATCAATTATTCTCTCATCATTAATGTTTCTCTCTCCCTTTCCTTTCCTCCCTGAACTTGATAAAACATAATGACACACCCTCCCAGATTTAGTTTGTGTTCTTAATACAAACATCATTTGATTCTCAAAATTATTCAACCCAAAGTTAATGAAATGACTCAGATTCAGAGCAACAGTTGGGTAAAATTTTTTTTTATTGGAAAACAAATATACAACTTGGAATGGATTTGAGGCAAATTGTGCCATAAGCAGATTTTCTTTAAGTGGCTAAACAAAGTTTAAAAAGCAAGTAACAATAAAAGAAAATGTTTCTGGTACAGGACCAGCAGTACAAAAAAATAGTGTACGAGTACCTGGATAATACACCCGTTTTGCAATAGTGCAACTTTTAAGTACATATTGTTGACTGTCCATAGTCCACGCAGTTACAACTCCACATTTCAACAACATGCTGATAATTCCTAAAGAAAACTACTTAAAAAGGCATAACCAGGTGTTCCCTCATTTGACCAACTCCATCTAAGTTTAGATGTGCAGAAGGGCTTAGATATATCCAGAGTAAGCCACATGCAACATGTTACTTGATCAATTTTCTAAAATAAGGTTTCAGGACAATAACAGTAAGATAAGGGAAGAAAACATGGAGGAATGAAGTCCTAATTACTATACATGCATATTTTTTTTGACAGTAGGGGAACCTTTTACAGATAAGTTACAAACAAAGAAAAGGCAAATAAACAATTTTGTACAAGAAATTTAACACATTCTGTACAATATCTTCACTTTGCTGTCATCATTTGTACAAACTCTGAAAAAGAAGAAATACACAAAAAGTTGAGCCAGTCAATGGCAAAAGATCGACAAAATCAATCACATTTACTCAACCACTGAGCAATCTCTATTCCTCTTTCTTTCCTCAAAATTATAAGGAAAACTAACTATATGAGGAAAGCTAACTAACTGCCAAAGCTGGACTTCATAAACCAAAATTATTAACAAATAAACCCAATTAATGCTTTAGATAGCTATTATAAATAAAAAGTATTCTTGCTTAGTTTACTATTACAAATGATACTTCTTAACCTGAAGCATATGTAAACAGTTTCAGACTAAATCTGTTAAATAGAGGAAGGGAATCCAATGAAGAAAAGAAAATCGCCTTAATTTCATTTTGAGGATCCTGAAATTAAAAGTTGGAAGCATTTCAAATTGTTCCACAAACATTATATAAAAATTGTTTTAGCACAGTTTAGAGTACAGTGTTCTCAAACTTTAATGTGCATGTAAAATCAACCACCAGGACTCCTGTTAAATTGCAGGTCCCTGGTATAGGGGTAGGACCTAATAAATAGCTCTAAAATGTTCTTGGGCAACAGGAGGTGTTGCTTAGTCTGTACACACATTCTAAATAGCAAATGGTTAGAAAATATAGTTTTAACATCTTCATGGGGTAAGTAATTTTGACCTATCAGATTATCTAGTACCTCTAAACGTAAAGTCAAAGCAGAGAATGAGATGGTGACAGTGAAAGTCTTACCTTCATAGTTTACTTGACCATCACCATCAATATCTGCTTCCCTGATCATTTCATCAACCTCTTCATCTGTTAACTTCTCTCCAAGGTTTGTCATCACATGGCGAAGCTCTGCTGCACTAATATAGCCATTGCCATCCTAGAAAAGTCATTAAAATATTTAAGATCATAGAGTTGGAATAGAAGTTTACTAAAGTTCACATTAGGAAGAAAAACATACTTTAGAAATCCACACAAACTAAAGAGAATCTACAAACAACTGACCTATAAATTAAACATCACTGAAAGCCAAGCACTATGTCTTAGTTCCAAAACCAAGTGATACCTGCTTTGCCACAAGATTAATGCTATAAGTTACTAGGAGATCTGAGCTTATACTGAACTGTTATCTTCATTTCATCCTCAAGTTAAAATTTAAGAAATCCAGCCCCTGAAAACCTACCTTATCAAACACACGGAATGCTTCTCGAATTTCTTCTTCACTGTCTGTGTCTTTCATTTTTCTTGCCATCATTGTCAGAAATTCTGGGAAGTCGATTGTGCCATTACCTGAAATGGTTTGTTTCGTTGAAACATTATAATAGAATTTAAATGTCACTTCAACTTCCCCCTCCCCAAACACAAAAATTAAGCAGACTTACCATCAGCATCCACTTCATTTATCATGTCCTGTAACTCTGCTTCTGTGGGATTCTGCCCAAGAGACCTCATTACAGTTCCCAATTCCTTTGTTGTTATAGTTCCATCACCATCCTTGTCAAATAGTGAAAAAGCTTCTTTGAATTCTGTTTGAGACCACAATCCAAATGTACAGGTTAACAACAAATAATAACCTCCTAAATGAAATGTATTAGTCAACTCTTAAAGATATATATGAAGATAAACACCTGAAATGGAATTTTGATTTCTGAAGGATTTAGATGAGAAAGCCACTTGTAGCATTTTAAACATCTTTAGCTAATCATACCAGTATATGCTCATATTGATCTACTAGGAAATTTTTTTCATCTAAAATCTTACAAGGAACTGCAATATCTAGACCCTTATTATTCTGTGTTTAAAAAGGAAAAGAATCAAACCCCAAATGACTGGCTTCTCTATTTTCTGTTAAAGCTGCTCTGTGGAACACAATTCAAAATTACAGATCTAACCTTTACTCAGAACCGAAAAATAAAGATAGTTGGTTCCAAACACATTTCTATAGAGCAACTATACTATTTGCATTATGTTTATAATACTCCTCAAAAAGTAAGTCTACTTCATCACCTACTAAATTAAAAACAAAAAACTTTAAACTTCAGAATAATATGCCAATGGGCTAAGTCATCTTTTCTGGAAGAGTCTATCACCAAATAGTCTATAGTACTGATGATAATAGGATGATCAAGATATGAATGGCCAGTTTTAGCTGTATCATTGAGAACAAAGATATCTTAGACCTTTCTTTACATTATATAACCCCAAACTTGTAAAATGCCTAAAATTATTATTGCCTAAAATTAAGATCTTACAAAATTGCATTACTTTTATTTCACCAGTAGATTACACGGGAAGCTGTTGGAGCGACAGTCCACAATACCTGGCTTACCATTTATTTTACAGAGAAACTAAAGCAGAGATTAAATCTGACAGTGCGAGGTCAGATAAATGAGCTAACAAAACCTAGTACTTTTCAAGGTACTTTCTGTAATAGACCCTATCAGCAAGCAAATACAAAAACAGTCCCAAAGTTCAAGGAGCCATATGCTCTCCCAACATATCTAAAACATTTGAAAATATATACCTGATACATATTTAAGAAATGGTGTGCCTCCTCTTACAGTTCAAGTCTATTTATCCCCTGCCTGTCTGTCCTTGCTCTAATCCATATACCTCAAAGAATCATTTATCATAATCTCTTCTCTGGACTCAACCATTCTACTGATTCTGCCATTAATTTATTTAGTTATCTTTATGTCTTTTTGCCTAAAACTAAACTCAAACCTTAAAGTCCCTATCCTTATCTCTCTCCAAATTCTGGAAGGCACCACTACTCATATCTATTTCTTCTCTATCAACCAACTATTAAAATTGCTTCCAGCTCCAGCTCATCCGCTGAAAATACAAGGTTCACCAAGAATGATCTAAGTGCCTAATCCAGCAAGTATGTGTCAGTATATGAGGCCATAAAGCATAGAAACTCAAATCAGACTTTGAAACTCAACTGCTGGCTTAAAAATCCCAGCTGCACCCTGACCAGTTTGGCTCAGTGGACAGAGCGTTGGCCTGCGGACTCAAGGGTCCCAGGTTCAATTCTGGTCATGGGCATGTACCTTGGTTGTGGGCACATCCCCCATAGGGGGTGTGCAGGAGGCGGCTGATCGATGTTTCTCTCTCATCAATGTTTCTAACTCT